AGTTCGTTAGCATTGCACTTCAGGACGCAAAAGCAGGAGAGAAGGCGAGCGAATGCAACTGTAAAGGAAATGAACAGAGTGACAGCGCAGAGAAACACTTTGGAAAAATAGAAGAAGAAGGAAGAAGCTGAAACCAAACAGGAAACACGAAAAGTGCAACTCAATGCAAGAATAAGCGAATTCGCGTGAGTTTCACAATGCGAAAGGATATAATGACGAAAATGGAAAAATAAAAAACAGTAAAAAAAAGAATGGAGAAAAATAAAGAAAAACTGCTGTACCGAAGCTATAATACCCTTCAGAGATGCATTTTTTAAGGCATAAAAGGGGATAAAAAAATCTTTGTCTTAATTTTGTGTGGCCAGTTTCTACAGTAGCTATAAGCTATAGTGTCCCGATCTGAATAATTTGCTCGGAGATTATAGTGTTGTCTTAGCTAATAATCTGCGCCAAATTTCGTTAAGATATCTTGATAAATAAAAACGTGTTCTATACAATGAATGCATTTTTAACGCTTAATTTGTATGGCAGCTATATGCTATAACTGGTCCGATCTGAACAATATTTACGGAGATACCGCTGACTTGGGAAATAATCCATGCCAAATTTCTTGCAGATATCTCATCAAAGAAAGGAGTTTTGCACAGAAGGACTTGCTTTTGATCGATCTGTTTGTTTGGCAGCTATATGATATAGTGATCCGATCTAAACAATTTCTTCAAAAATTACATTGTTGCTTTAGAAAATAACTCATGCGAAATTTCGTGAAGATATTACGTCAAATAAAAAAGTTTCCCATACAAGTACTAGATTCCGATTGTTCAGTTTGTATGGCAGCTATATGCTATAGTGGTCCGATATCGGCAATTACGACAAACGAGCAGCTTCTTGGGGAGAAAGGAACGTGTGCAAAATTTCAGATCGATATCACAAAAACTGAGGAGCAAATTCGTATATATACAGACAGACGGAAATGCCTAAATGAACTCAGCTCGTCCGGTAAACCGTCTGATTTAAATTGACTACGACCAGTCCGGGTCACTTTTGAACTTGAGTGTATATAAATACTTTATAAGGTCTCCCACGTTTCTTTCTATGTATTACAAACTTCGTGACAAACTTAATACACACTGTTGAGGGTATAAAAATATATAAATGAAAACAACAAGAAATAAAGCAAATAAAAATTGCAGAAAAACGTAACTAGCAGTGAAATCAATAATAACGGTAACTATGTTGAAAGCGCGAAAGAGCATTGACTGTGTGATTACACAAGTACTGTTATCTAAGTATGTATGTATGTCTATGCGTGTGTTCGTGCCGCTGATGGAGGATGTGCTGCACAATCAGTGAAGCCAATAATAGCACAGCAGAGAATAAAAAATGCGAATGAAAGCTGAAAAAATTACCAACAACTGTATAAGCATGAGTGTATATGGTATATATAGCTATGTATGTGTGTATTTACGTATGTAAGTATGTATTAGTGCACGAGTGACTATCTAATGCATGTTGCAATCACATGTGAAAATGCGCAACAAGGCGTGCTAAATGTGCGGCAGCAGAGAAATTGACGGTAGCACAAGCAGGAAGCACACAGATATGTACATCCGTAAACTCACACACACATAGATATACACAACTATATTTTCGCATACATACTATACCGATCTATTGTAAAGTTTTGGCTAAGCGATTGTTCGCATGTCAGCGCAAAATTTGCTGACTGCAGAATAAAGGCAAAAATTGTCAGAAAATTACTGTGTAACGGTAAAAAATGTGCTGTAAAATTGCTTTGTGCAAAAGTATTCGGTTGCATCAATTGTTATTATTGTTGTTGTTGCTATGTTTTGTGCTTTTGCCGCATTATGTCTGCAAAGCGAAGTGATAGGAAGCGATCAGAGTTCATCGCAATTATCCGTTAATATCCGATTGTTGTCGTCATAAATGCTTTGATGCGCTGCGCTGTCATTCGACTGGAGTCACATTACCGTTGCTGTCAATGATCGTTAAGTTAACTGTAATATGTGACACTGTATGTGGTGATAGGAATGAGAAATACTCTATACTTCGGAAATCGGACATGACATATACGTTATTTATCCTAGATGTATTACGCACTAGGGTGGTTCGGAAAAAAAAAATTTTTTTTGGCTAGCCTGGGGGTGAAATCTGTAGGTTATAAAACAAGAAAATTGTTGGACAAAAACAAATTTTTTTTAACACCTAGCGACAATTTTTAAATTTACAATTTTTATTTCGTAAAAAAATTTTGATAAGTGTTTTAGAAGCTGTGGTGAGTCCTCTTTCTGGCCAATTAAAATTTATCAACTTAAAAAATTTTTTGTGGTCATTATTGAAGTTTAAAAAAAAAGTCTTAAATGACCACATGCTTTCCTTAAGCGTTAAAATAAATTTTGAGTCAAAACCCGTCAAATTGAGTATATTTTATGTAAACGTGAAGAGTTTAAACCAAAATTTTTTTTTTGTCCAAAAAAAATTTTAACTCGAAACTTACTATAAAACTGAGTGCGCCGCCTCTAGGTGTTTTGCCCAAAAATTTTCTTTATTTTAAAATCTACAGATTTTACCCCCAGTCCAGCCAAAAAAAAAATTTTTTTTCGCTCCACCCTATTACCCACTAACTTAGCATCATACTACAAGTACTTACATTATTTCGTAAATTGACTTTTGATTCTGCAGCGTCCCTCAAATTTTTAGTAAATGCCTTAAAAAAAATTATGAAATCTTTTTGAGCTCGCCTTTTTAACCCATGACGCAAAGACGATTCATTTCCCATTTAAATAACAAAGGGATTTCGTACTTTTTGCAATTAATTTTTTCTTTGCGAAGCCAGTTAATACATCGCTGCGGCATCGTATTATTTTTATAGGAAATTGAACGCTGTACAAAAACTTTTTTGTGACATTTTTCAAAAAAATCACTTGCGTCAAAGTTATTCACGGTCAAAGTTGAACTACTTTATGTATCAAGTATTCTGTATTCATATAGTACACCATGTCGTATGAGTAACATAGAATTTATAAGGCACTTGCATAAATGCACAAGTCATTCTGAGTATAACTTTTAAACGTAAGATTTTATGGAAAGCATTATTAAGAACTTTTTTATATAGCAATAAATTTGGTATTAGAATATCACTTAATAAAGCTGTAAATTTAATTTCTTAATGCAAAATAGCAAGAAATCGTATGTTATATACATGAGAAAATAAAATTAATTCAAGCACCGTCTAAATTAAAAATAAAGAGCTTGTTTACTTTGCACCCTTATTTTTAGGGCTAAAATTATAACTTCAGGGGGCGTTTGTAAAAAAAAAATCAACTTGCGAAATAACGGACATCTTAATGCACAAGCAAGTTAACGTTTGCACGTTATCTATGAATACCCTTCACAAAAAAAAGAGTGACCAAACAAGAACTTCATATTGATCGGTCAGTTTGTATTATATAACAGCTATATGCTATAGCGGTCCGATCTGAATAATTCGTTCGAATATTGTTCCGTTGCTTTGGGCAATAGTCTATGCCAAATTTCGTGAACGGCCGCTATACGATATGTGGATGCAATATCGGGGGTTCCGAAATCTCTGACGAGCTTGCTCGCTCAGCTGCGACTATCAAGCCGCTGAGACCGGAAACCATCTGTGCTTTGGCTTCACAGATCATATTAGAATCGTTTCAGAGGAAGGAAAGGGCAGAGGGTATAACCTAAAGAGCTTTAAACAAATAATAAGCCAGCCTAGAGACAAATTCAGTCTCCTCGTCTCAATATACATCGGTCATTGCCGGCTAAAGAGACACTTATCTAATATAGCCTTAGTCTCATTAGCAATGTGCCGATGTGGCATGGAGCCTAAAGCTCTGGATCATCTGCTGCTAGAATGCGTAGCAATTTTTAGTTGGAGGAACAAGGCCTTACGTTCCACGTATCAACTCTCCGGCACCTAGCACGATTCTCTAATTTATAAGAGTGCTGCGTCTAAGTGAGTTCTTGTGAAAGAAAGGAGGGCACAAATTACCATAGGTCGCAGTGCATACCTTAATAATTTTCCATTCCTCTTTTCCCCTCACGAGCCCGTTTATCTTAACAACGTTCCTGATGCTTTCTGCTATTTTACAGTTATTTTTAATTCTGAATTAACTATTAATATCCCCAAAACTTTCCTATTATGCCTAATTGTTAGTTACCGAGCACAGCTGCAACGTGGCCATTTTTATTACAAGTACAACCACGAAAAAACACGAGCATCCAAGAACAAACACAAACACGCAAATGTACATTTTGACTTCTTGAATTTTCACGTCAACAGTTTCATGATAACTGGTCACTTTATTTTTCACGCGCTCTCGCCTACATTCTTCCCCTATCTCACTCTCCACCACAATCTCTCTGAAGCTCTGCGCTTTGTCCAAGCATCAGCTTGACTTGCAACATTTGCTGCTACACGCTGTGCCACAGAAAATAATAAAAAGTAATTACGCGCCAGCGAGGCGCAATAATGATGATGCCGGTCGTGACGTCGGTAATTCGGCAGTGCAGATTGTCGAGAAGTTAATGGTGATGGCGCCAAGGCGCTCTCTCGCTCAAACAAACCAAAGCAATGGAAATGGCAATTGCAGCGGCTATAATGTCAGCGAAGCCAACAAAGTCAGCAATTATGTGTGTTGCTGCAAGTAATGTCGTGCCGGCTGATAACTTTTGTGGGCATGTATGTGTGTGTGTTTTCGTTTTCACATTTGTATGTGTGTGCGTTTTAGTATTCCCTGCTTTTGAGCTTTACTTTTTGGTGTCGCCGATCGCATTTGTGAAATTGCACTGCATAGTGGCGAAAGCCATTTGCCAAGAGTTATTGCCTACATTTAGGCGTAAACGATGTTATTCTGGCCAATTTTAATATGCAAGCGCAATTTCTATAGTAAATTTTTAAAATCCATGTTGCTTTTGTTGTACATTTTTTATTTGCCCATTTCGCTTACCTTTTTTGCATTTCTTTTGTATGGTTCGCGTTTGATCGCATGCCGGATCGCCCTTCTTCAATGTCAACGTTCGTGAGCGTGTGTTGGTTTTCTGGTCACATTCGGTCCATGGATTTTTGCCATAACGACAGGAGAGACCTGTGAATGAGAAAGCATAAATTCAGTGAGAAATATTTTTAATGTTTTGAATGCGAAATAAACCGTTATTCTTAAAAAAATGTTGGTCTAAGATAAAATTATATATCGACATTACTTTTTATTAAGCAAAGCTTCATATTTGATTTTTTGATTTTTTATGTAGTCATTTATGAATCGTTGAAATTGTTGCAAAAGTGTCTTGAAGAGTCATGCGAGTCGTCCCTCCACCTCTGTTGGATTTATCGTCGAAAAAAATTAAAGAAATAGTGCTTGAAAATCGTCGTATTGGCTTCAGAGAGATCGCAAAGGATACCAACATCCCTTCTGGATCGACTCATTACATACTGAAACATTTAAAGAACAAGAAAAGAACAGCCAGGAGCTAAGTTCGGCTCTATTCGAACCGAGCCTTGCCAACAACGCGTCGCCTTGGTGAGTAACCAAAGCCTTACGTTGTCATGGAGCTCTGGCGCGGCGGAACTTTGTGTTGAACAACGTTTTATTGAACGCGATAGCTCGTTTCAGTGAGCCGATGGTGGTAGGAATTAGAGGTATGCAACAACTACAACGAACCCAACACAGGAACATAATTCATCTCAGGAGCAAACCGAAAATTCAGCTTCATAGATGCCCTGTCAGCAGAAGGACGTTCGCTATTTGAGGAGCATGCCAGGTATAATGACATAATCTCGAGGGCGTGGGGTCTCAAGCAAACTCTACAACAATCCCTTCTAGCGATCTGAGTCGCTTAAAATCGGGTGGAATACAACAAGAAAGTACCTGGGGTGAGAGCAACAAAAAAAAAAAAGACGAAAGGAGGCGACAGACTCCTTTACAGCTAGCAGTTGGCATATCTGGTGGTTCTAAGGATACTAAGATGGTAACTGAGGCACCTCCAAGAATAAAAATTCCCCAGGAGAGGCTAAGAAGATTTCTCTGGACAATAACAGAAAGTGTAATCCTGAAGTAATTCCTGCGACAGAGAGGTTAATACGAGTAGCGAGAGTGCGATGGCTCATAGTGCAATAGGCCAAGCTGCACAGGACCCACCTAACCACAAGAGGCAAAAAAAAAGGCTGTCGCTGAAGCAAATATTCCCTCCAAAAGTCCCCAGATGGTAGAAGGTCAACGAGAGTATATTGAAACCCTCAAAGGCATTCGGAGACAAATTCACCGCTAGTTGTCGCTGCGATCGTGTTATCTCTAATAATAATATAAGCTTTTTTTCTAAATTTACTTTGCAGTTGGTCTTCATTTAGTTTACCGCTGTGTGCTTTATATTAGGTTCACCAACTAATAGTTGTTATCGCATGTCTTACTCTAACGAATTGTGTTGCTGTGTTCGCAGATATTTCTATATTTTCGAAAGCATTTTGTCATCATGTCATGGCAAGTGTTGTAGTTTGGAACAATAGTAAGGTTATATCAGACCATGCTGCTTAAAATATTTTCATGCATTATTTAAATGGTGTTTGCTTTTATAGAATAGTTATTGCCCTAGCTTATATCAAACATAAGTTGTATTATTGTAATCCTAGGAGAAGAAGAACAGTAGGCTCATTTTGGAATTGGGTAATATAAAAATAACGAGTTGGTTTTTTCATTTTCATAATAGATTAATATATACACTTGTCCTGTATGATTTTAATGTTGCTGAGCTGCTTCTATTTGTAGTGATTTAACTGATGTTATCCGATAAAATGCAGAAGGTTTATTTGAAATCCCTAAACGCCAGATCAAAACTCAACAATCCGACATAGCAGAACATATTTGGAGAAATACCTATAATTTTCTATGCTAGAAGGCTTTCTTTATGTATGAAAGGCTTGCTCCGAACCAAGAAACACATGCTATCAAATATTTTATTAAGGGTTTGAAGATGTAATTAGTCAACTCATTTAAACCGAATTAAATTCATTGTAAAATAAATCAAAACACCGCTGTGCGCTCACGCCTAAAGATCATAAAATTAAAATGTAATGTTTATCTTAATTACATAATGGAAATGTTATGTTAGGTCGTTAAGCATTTTCATTTCATACAAACGAATTCGAGGCGAAAGCAATTTAAACATGTAAGCTAATAATCGTAACACCATTGAGTGGTGCCAGCCAACTACACAAAACAAACAAAAAAAAACTCAATTAAATTAATTTGTAATTAAAACGACTGACAGCCATTAAAATAAGCGCGATTAATCAAATTACAATTTAAGTGTCGTTAGCGCACAAAACCTGCCAAAAAAGACAGGAAAAATGAGAAAAAATTAAAAAGTGAGAGTGCCTTTGCACGCATCGCGTATAGACGTAATGATGTTGGCTGATTCAATGGTCAGAGAAGTTAGTAGACTAAAGAGACTTTCTGTTATTAGCACCGTCACAACATTATAATCAATCTTTCGAATTTAAACAGAGAGAAGAAAGCAATCAGTGGTAAGTGCGAAAATAACAGTATTAATTTCGGAACAACTAAAGTCGTACTTAAGACCGGAGACAGTGGTAAGATGTGAAATTATAAGAAAATAATTCAATGCGCCTAAAAGTAGATTTCAATAATAAGTACTTCGATAATTGGATTGTTGAGTGTGGCGGAAGGAAATTAAGGCCAATGTAATCGATGTGCTTAACTGCTTTCGGCAATGTGTTATGAATGCGGAAGATTATGCTGTCGACGCACAATTACCGTTGGAACTTTGAATATATTGTATTTGATAAATGATGCTTCAATTTCTGTACCACAATAAGATATCTTTCGCAATTAAAAATCTTTAAGAGAAGGGTTCCATACAACTAAGATCGTAATGGCAAAACACATTCATCAAATATTTCTAAGAAATGCTGTTGAATCGCAATGAAATTGGAATGAGAGAAAAATCTACGAGCCAAATCAAAGGTATCTTAAATAGGTAGTGATCTCCAGACTAATACATACATAAGGATGTTCTGAGAGTAATTGTCCAAGTATGTTCTACCAATAGAGTTAACACTGCAAAACCTAACCTAATTTTTAGATTAAAAATATTATTTGATTAAAATTAATATGGTAAAACCTTGAAAATTCATGACTCGTTCCGAAATTAAATTCGGAGCTCGGAGTTATGTGACCTAGAGGCGCTGTGTGTTTAGATGGTTATAAATTTGTAGGATTCTTTGAAATCTTTTGAGCGTACGTAACGTATTTCAAAATATTATTTAAAAAAAATGTATTTGAGTTAACCTGGGAAATTCAGCTATACGCGTTGCAAAATATTTGCTGAAATTAAACATCAGATTCAGAGGCTCTGATTCCTCTGATTCATTCCTAATCAAGTAAAAACTTAAAACTTGACTATTTTACCTGGGGGCGACTTTTCCTCTGCTCGCTTACTGACCAGGGATATGGGGACGAGGAGAAGTCGCTGCGGAAAAAGCACATTGAGATTTTTCACGGATGAGTTGAATATAGAAGGGAAGGTTGGAGAGAAGTTTTCTATACCTGGGGCATCTTTGCCCCGCTCACATCGGAGTGGGAATGAGTTGAATTTCCGTTGTCTTGTGGCCTAGTGTTGGACCTGTAACCCTCCCGAGTGTGTTGGTCGACGACCAGCTTCTGTGCGACTGTGAGATCTTTTCGATTTGGAGTAGAACGCAGAAATTACCTACTCTTAGCTATTTTCATCTTGAGGTTAAAACATTTCAACATGTCTTTTGACGGCTGCCGTTCCAAGCTGTCAAAATTAGATCAGTGTTTGGATCGACCTATTATCCTTACCTAACCTATTTTAACTAAATTGTAATTAATAACAATAAAGAATATTGGTATTGGTATAAAACTGATTGATGCAGTTAACTTAAGGTGCTTGGTCACCTCATTAAAACTTCCTTCTTAAAACCATGAATAAATCAATTAAATTAAATGCTTCTTTAAAACCGACTCACCATCACTCTTTGTGCCGCGTTCGTTACGTATCAAAATCTCATGATCGTCTTCCTCCCAAATTTCGCCCGGTGTAGCCGTGGTCGGTTGTGTCTGTTCGGCGACTGGCAACGCCAATGGCGTCTCCTGCACCTCTGTCGTGGCGCACACGGTGGCTGGTATTAGCGCCAGTGTTGCCACACAAACGCCAATCGACAGCGCAATTAAATGGCAACTTCGCATTTTGTGCTCAATAAAGTGCTCGCGTGCTCGGGTGTGTGTGCTTTGCTGGATGTATGAGTGCACGGTGCTGCGCGATGATGAAGTGCGTGAGGGCAGACGTTTGGCAGTCGTGTCGTGTGTGCCTTATTTGCTGTGCTTGTTGTTATTGTGGCTGCTGCTGCTGCTACCTTTGTTCTATATTAACAGTTATAATGCTTTACCTGTAAATAGAGAAGAGACAAAGGCATATTTAAATGATGGCTTTTGTGCGAAATAATAAGGGGTCAGAGATGGAATTCTAAGGAAGCTTGAACTGTCTGTGGTCGCCTGAGGCGTTTTGTGCGCTGCAGTGGCGTGAGTGTAAAGGTAGAGAGGTAAATATAGAGAGATAGCGGCACAAATTAATGTTACTGCTGTCAACTAGATTTACATTCGCATGTCTGTGTCGCTTCATTTCACGCTCTGACGCTCAAGCTATCTGCGTGTCTGTCGGTATCTTTGCCTTGTGGCACCGTCACGATGATACGATGTTAGCCTGATTGATGTGCGCATCGTGGTTTCTGTCATACAGCTGTCAGTTGGTTGACAGGCCTCAGCTGGCATTAACAATTTTTTACTGCTATTGACGGCAGCAAGTGAGTGGAGTGAGTGTAGTGATGTAGAGAACATGGTAGTGAAAATAACTTTATCAGTGAATAAATTTTAATAAATATTGCATTTAAAGTGTTGAAATATTTGACAATTATAATGTCCAAATGACATTAGGAAAACACTTATTATTCGCCGATTTTTATCTTCATTTTGATTGCTCGTTTTGAACGCCAGTATAGTATATCTTATAGAGGTCCGATCAAAACAATATGTTTGGAAATTTTACCGTTGTTTCAGACAATAATTCTTGCTAAATTTGGTCAGAGATATCTTCTCAAATAAAAAAGTTTTCCATACAAAAACTTGAGTTTGATCGAACAGTTTGTATGGCGGCTATATTCAATAGTAGTCCGATATCGACAGTTCCGCCATATGAGCAGCTTATTTGAGAAAAAAGAATATGTGGAAAGTTTCAGATTGATATCTCAAAAACACATACAACATATATATTATAGAGTCTCCGACGCCTCTTTATTTTCCACTGTTTGGGGTAGAAATTATAAGAAAGGGTTTCGAATAGAAAAAGTTTTAAATTAGCGATAAACTCAGATAGCCTTTTTAAAATAATTTTAAAAAACTTATGAAAATGTGGGAGCACATGTACAAAATAAATACGAGTAACATGTCTAATAAAATAGAACTCAGTTTCAATTGATAACGTGGCAGGTTCGCCGTACTCATCTTAAAATCGTTTAGAAATAAGGCTAATGAAAAGAGAGTAGACTAAGTCAGGGTTATCAAAATTTGTATGCATAGCAAATAGTCTAGTCAAAAATTAATTTCAGATCTGATTTTTTAGTACAATTAGAACTGCTATGAGAGAAAATAATTTATCTAGGTAGAAATTTAGCGAGAAGTGCTGAATTCCGATGCAGAATACTGTTCCAAACGTAAACAATACTCGTGAGACTTAAGTTAGGTTCAATTTCTGCTACTCGAGGAGGTGGTCACTTGGAGTCGTTTCTGAAACCTTAAAATAGAACTCCTGCATTCAGATCTTTTAAGTTGACAAAGCGATTTGAGGTCGTTACAAATCTGCTTAAATATTTTAGTTCTATTCCCACCAGCTTAGCGGGATGTCAGAAAGTGTGCAAATGCTCAAGTCTTAAACTCACAAAGGCGAGACAGTCAAGAAAGAAGTGTTGTGATGTTTATATCTTGTCTTCTTCCAAACAGCTTCCACAACTGACATCCTGTAAGGTTCTCAACTTTACCGCGTGGATACCGATAGAACAATGGCCAGTTATAATTCCTTCAACTACGGGAAGAACACGTTTACTGAAGGCGAAGAGCTTACTGAACCTCTTGCGATTCGGCTCTACCGATAGCACAAGAACTAATGATAGTCCAAGCTGCCAGCCATACCAGTTTTATCAGTTTGAGGCTAGGCTTTCCTCAACTTAGCTCAAGGCTAGTACCTCCGCCCTAATATCAGATTGCATAATCAGTTATGTTAACACATTGGCACCTTAATGGCACCAATCATGGTCTTGAGTAGTCAGGAAGCCTGAAACTGGAGTTGATACATAGTTCTTTACAATATACCCTTCCATCAACTTTCGCCTCAAGATTTGACTCACCCGTAAAAAAGTTCACTCATAAGATTTGATGCAACGGAAAAATTAGCCTCTTCCTAGTTGACCGTAGAAAACAGAACAATTCGTTTCATACAAGGGGTTATAATTGGTATTCCCAATGTAAATCCAATGGATGAACATAGCTAAAAGATTTTGGATTTTCAAATTGAAAGAACAGAGCTTTTTGATGATAATTGATTTGAGTGAAGATTATTTGGATTACATAGGTTAAGCGATTTTGTTTTATGATGATATGGCTCAACTGTAAAACTATTTCCGGAGGTGTGTATGGGACTGGAAAATCATTTTTTTATTGGTAGTATAGTTCGTAGTGGAATCATCGAATTTTTCTATTGCATAACGACTTCATATATGTTCTTTTTCGGGAATTTAATGGGTGTTCCGAATAGGCAATGAAAGGAATTTAAATGTTTGATCCGCAGATAACGTCAGCGATAACATTAAGTGAAGTTTGAATGAAAGCGCCCACAAATTTAATATTGGTCAATACTTTTTTTAAATAGCTTTTCATCGAAAACCCATTTTTCACATACATATGTATTCGTGTAAAGCATGAAAGCCTATTGGTTTGAGTACTCATTTGCATTTTAAATGAATGAGGTTTCTCATATTAATTTATGCATATTTGTGGTTTCGAATTTAATTATTTGCTGCATTGCACACGCCTTGTGTGGATAAGTGCATGCCGAATACATGAGACCACGAAAAAATCTGTGTTTCCGATGATGACCCAGAGGGAAAAGTTTATTAGTGGAATGAATGTATGTGGATTATTTTTGGAAGTTATACACATTTAATGGGCTTTTTTGTTATGCTAGGACTTAAAGGGTGGCGAATCGAACCAACAGCTCGTATAATCCAAAAAACTTCGATAATTAAAAAGAGGTGAGAAATTAACATACCCTCTTGTGTTAATTTTTTCTAGAGAAGAGTGTTGTTGCTTTCCTCACTAAACTTGTTGACAAGAGCGCAGAGCACTGCGTTTGAGAGAGAGCAGAGCTTCAGTTTGCATAGAGTAGTGGCGAATCGAACATAACTGGTTTGAAATGCTGGGTGTATTTGTAAGAATGTTTTGAGTTGATGTATTCGGTTACCAAACGTTTAAACGGGTTTTTCTCGAAACGCTGTGTTAGAGTCAGAGAGAAAAGTTTCTCCGATCAAAATCAATCACCGATTATATAATTATTAGAGAACATTGAATCCTGTATGTGTGCATTGCTTTTATTTACTTAGTAAAAAAATTCTCTTCGAAAAAATGCACAAAAAAAATATCGCATTTTTTAGACCTGCAAGACGTTTCTTGAGTTTTTTTTTCAATAAAAAATGTTCACCTAAATGTTTTTGCACGAAAAGGGAAATGAAAAATATTTCAGTAAAAATTTTCGCGTTTATCAGACTTGGAAGGGGTTTCTTGATTGACTAGAATTTTTTTTTTTTATTTACCAAATCAAACAAATTCCAGTAAAAATTTTCTTCATACATAAAATATATAATATTTTCTTGGCAATATTCCTACTGGCTCACTTAACGCACATATCGTTTCGCGCTTAATTTTATGTTTGCATAAGTGGCATATGAATAAATATTTGCCCATTAATTTTTCAGCCTATGTCTGTTGTTGCTTTTGCGCGTAATTAGTGCGCATTTAAAAAAATATACATATGTGTATTTAATGAAATTCATATAGGTATATACATTTTTTTGGTGCACTTGATTTTACCGTTAACACACTCGACACGTTCTGCTACGGTTTTGCTCATTTCCGCTACATTTAAGCACAAACGCATCCACATTAAAAAAAAAATTTTTTCAGTATTAAAAAAAAAATTGTTTTTGTATTATTAATATATTTTTTGTTTTTATTCAATGAATATTCACATTCTGTTGTGGTTGTGCGTTTAATTTAATTTATTGTTACCATTTTTTATGTCGAAATTCTCCATAGATAATAGCAGCTGTTTATTAATTCCTTAAACAAATGTTGTAGTGAAATTATAATAAATTTACTTCAACAAAAAAAAAATGTATTTGATTGGAAAATTCAATATTTGCTCAAACAATTATTCATTTGCGCTATTGTGCGTGCTGGCCTGTGCTCTTTATTAAATTGAAGTGGCTGAATTAACAATTGAAGTTTTTAAGGTTAACAAAACAATTTATTGCAATAAAAATTGCATATGCGGAAAAAAATTTAAATGCAAAACCAAAAAAAATGCAAAAAAAAATTAAATAAGAAATTATAATAAATTAAGTTTGACGAAATGTTGCATTTGACATATAGTTTAAAGTTGTAATGTTTTTTCTGGCATATTGAGATTTTTTATATGTGAGCCTAGTAAGGGTATTCATTTCTCATTTCGTACACGTATCCATCAAATTTAGGTTAAATTAGGAATCAAAGCATAACTTTTCTATAAAACTATGTAAACGTATAACTTTCCTCAATACACTTATGCTTCAACTTTCTCATTTCTCAGTGCTGTCCTTCCAATGTCCAATGTTTATACTCAACATATAGCTTGTGGTTAGTTTTTCAATATAATTTTTTAGAAAATCAGAAATGTGGTTTAGCTAAACCCTAATGATTGTTTTAGTTTCGAGGAAGTACGTATCAGTCATCAGTATGACTGTTTCCAGATGTGCCGTTTCCAACAGAAGGTGTTTGGACACGAAGCACTTGCAAACAAATAGTTGCGTGTTTTTTTTTTTTGGAAAAACTGTAGATATCGCAACCATACTTCTAGAAAAACTCAAAACAGGAAATTCTGAGTGATACACAAACATTTGTTTGCCACTTGTCTTTCCAGAAATCAGGAAAACCAACCGTCCAAAACATCAATTTATTGAGTTATCCACCCTAAAGTTTTGACTAGGCACCAAATGACTTATTCTTTATTCCGGTATGTAAAAGTTAAACTAAGAAATCAACATTTTTCGACACCTGAAGAGTCGGTTGATGCGTTCAGAACACA